AATTACTGCTGATCACTGTGTGGCACAGTAGTGACATCATCTAACGTGAGATCATTATTGATTGACATATCCCACGTAATATTTGAAGTTGCAATTTCTTCCGTTGACAATATATATAATATTAAAAAAAAATTATTTTTTTAAAAATAATCTTTAAATTTTTATATATAAATTTTTATTCAAATATATTTAACACTATGTTAGATATTTTCAAAGATTTATTTACAAAAACCTACAAGATTTTTAAAACTTGAGAATATTTATTACACTAAACCTAAAAAAAAAAATATTATTATTATAGAATTTATTTCTTTTAAAACACAAAAATCTTTTGACTAGTTTATCAACTTAATTTTAAATATGATAAAGCCTTTTCAGAAGATTTAACTCTATAAACTAATTTTTCAAATAATAATTTTATCAAAAATATTATAAAAATAGTTTTTTATATTTTTCATGAAACTAACACTAAAGATTACAATATAAAGTTACCTAAGAAATTATTTTAATACTCTTTTTACAATATAAAAGTTACTTAAGAAATTATTTTAATACTCTTTTTGCTATATTATTATCTTAGAATAATAATAATATTATTTTTTTAACTAATGATGAAGATTTTTTGTAATATATAGATACTTTAAATGAGAATGATATACTTTACAGATAATATCATTATAAGACACAATACTTTTCTTTTTTCTCTTTTCATTAATCTATACTTTTATCTTTGATCAATAATCATAATAATACAGTAACAGTTATAAGTATTTGATCCCTTATAATTTTTAACAGTTAAGAAAGATATCACAAATTTTTTAGGCAAAAATTTTTTATTATGATTGACATAATAAAATTTTTGATGTAATATTTCCTTCAAATATATAATACATGTATAAAGTTTAAAATTAGCTAAAATTAATTTAATCAGTTAAAATCAATAATCTTTAAATCTTAATTCTGGTCAAAATTTTTTAATTCTGATCAAATTCGTAATTTCAGCCTAAATGTAAGTTAAAAATGAAAAATACAGGTCAAATATAATACCATATTTATATAATGTAACATTTCAACCTAAAAACTAAAAGTGAATCTTATCAATCTCCTTTATGATCTTTTTTTAAGTATTTTTTCACATAACTTTTATTATGTAAGAAGGACCTTTAATGAAAGTTAGTGTATTTTTTTATCTTTAATTCACTATGATAGAAATAAATTTAAGTTTATCAAATGAAATTGATGACTTCTTTGACAATATATCAGAGAATGAGGAAGACTTGACTAGTTTATTTACTGAAGTTGCTATAAATAAAGCAAGAGAATTACTTATTTCAAATTTAGATAATGTAGATAATGACTCTGAAAGTACTGATTGGGATACTGATTCTGCATTTACAATAGCAAGTGAAAGTACAGAAGCAGAGGATGAAATAATAATACCACAAACTAGTAGTTTAAATTTGACTCTGTGTGCATTAATAGACATAATAAATGGATCAATTCAAAGTTGTAGTGAAGTCAAAAATTTACAAGGACTTGTACAATTAGTTAGTACATAACAACTTGATAATAATGCAGTTCGTAAAGCTAAAGAGTTAGAGAATTTTAGAGTATATCGAGAACATTTATGTATTATTAAAATCGCCTTCATAAAAAAGATGCAAAAAAAGAATATGATACTGCATATAGTTATTTACATTGAAGACATTGCTTATTTTGTGAACACAATTTTATTTTTTTAACCGTGAAAAATTTTGTCATGAACATTCGGTTTCTTTTGGAAGTAAAAATTTGCATATACTATATATTGGCTAAAAATCATATTTTGCATTAGAAATAAACAAACTGACTATTACAAATGTGAAATTACAACAAAAATCATGATATGTATATTGTAATTGTTATGAAAAATATGGTAGACATTTGTATGTAAAGCCAGAAAAAGAAAAACTAGCATTACAATGCAATTATAATGAGGATACTAATATAACTTTATAATTAATCGGCAATTGGATTATTAATCTTAATTACTCTAATAATGATTTATTAAAAAAAAATATTCTAACACGTTTAACAACAATAATTGAGCAATTATTGAATTATACTCCACCACCTGTTTCTTTTAAAAATAATACCAATTTGTCAGATTTAACAATATTAATATCATATAATTTATTTGGTACTAAAGTTTTTTTTAGATTATACCAAATAAAGTTAGAAGATCTATGTTATAATTTTGGGATAATGATTTTCAAAAAATTGGATTACAAATAGGACTTGATTTTTTTAAAAATCGAAAACAATACTTATAGCAAAAACAGGCATTAGAAGAACTTAACTCATTAGAAGAATATCATTTAATACTGCTATTAAAATTATATGAATTATTGGATAGCATTATTCAGGTTCTATTTAAAAAAAAAGACAATATTCAAATCAAAAAAAAGAAGCGACTTTGTAATGATAATAATTATAATTGTCAATTAATTGATAATAATAAAATTCAAAAAATTGTAATTTTTATTTGTTCTATAATTATTTCCAGTGGGTTTAAGGGTGTAAAAATATGGCTTACTAGAATAGTTTCTAGTTTATGTCAAAAACCTCAATTATTTTCAAGTCTTCATGATTTTTTAGTATCAGTTAATACAGCAGGAATCACCAGAAAATATGAAAGGTTTCTTGAAATTAAACTTATAGAATCAGCTGATCCTAAATTACGTGTTTGGCAGAAATCTAATATTTGGAATGTATGTATTATAGATAATATAGATTTTAAAGAGAAAATATTTACTTATAGAAATATTTATGATACAACTTGCAATAGTACTTACACTATACTATGCCTTTATTTCAATATCAATTACCTATTAATCTAAGTTCAATTCCTAATAATGAAATTCAATTAGATGAAAATACAAAACTTTTTAATGAAAATTTAAAGGAAAATGAAGTTCTGTTGATTTTCAATTCAATTTTTAAAGAATTACTCAACTGTCAAATTAAAGATAATCTTCTTATTCAGTTTTCTTCTAAATACGATGCTGAAATTATTAATGATAAAATAAAATATTTTAATAATAGGTCATATTATCTTCCAATACATGTAGTAATACTAGAAGCAGGAAATGATCCAAATAAGAATGCAAACATAAATGCTGCATATGATCAATATTTTGACGATTTGCAAATAAATGATAATTTAGCAGGAATTGAAGTAGTATGTAATAAAGCTATTTTTCAGAAAGTTCTTAAATACCATCAAAGTATCTTAGAATATGACCACTTCTAGGATAGTAACACACAAGCAAAGATATATGTAGTGTATTACTTATGATTTTTTCAGGATATGAAATTTATAATATAGCGGCAAAATTTGGTGTAGTTTTTTTAGATAAACTTGAAAAAATAATTGACTATTGGTCTACATGTTACGTCTTTAATTTAATTTGAATTGCCGTTAGAAGTGCTATTCTAATCTATATGTCAAAGAATAATTTAGAACTATTATAATAAAATCGTCAAAATCCCATTACTTATGTTTAGTCTTTCTAAGAGTTTCTTTAACAATTTTATGAATTGAATGCGTGTTATTTATATCCATAACTTCCTACATAATTTTTTTTCAATAAATTTAAAAAACTGGAACTGACTTTGTTTTACAGTATCTATCCCTTTATGAAAAGGTTTTTTGGTTTAAAGTTTACTACATCTTCATGTCTAATCCCAAAGTACTTCTTTTTGCCAGTAAAGTAGACAGGGAATAATACCTCTTTGTATGTTATCTTAAGATAAAATGTGCTATTTTTTATCCTAAAATAAGCATTTATTTGATCATATAACTTTTTATTACATCCATAATAATATTAACCATTTCAGTCCAGTATTCTTTCTTGGAAAGCTTTTCTTCATTAAAAATTCTATCACATTTTCATAATACTTATCTAGGCATGTAAGATATAAAGAATCAGTAACCTCATATTTTATTCCAAAATCTTTTTCAGATACGAATTTTGTGATAAGATTAAGGTTATATTTCCAGCTGAAGTAGTCCTTCCAGTTAATTCAAGAAGATAGATTGGAGATATTGAGTTACTTGCTTCTCTATAAAAGTGTTCATATATACCTTTAAAGTTCTCTGCTTAGAATTAAAATAATTACAATCAAAGTATATTACTGAGTATTCTGAGATTAAACTTTTCAGAACTCTTTACCTCTCTTTTTAGCTGAACTTATTATCTTTCCAAGATGGTCCTTTTCTTTTCTAATAGAACAAGCTATACTTTAAGCTCTACTCTTTTGTTGAACAAATCTTCTAGCATGACAGAATATAAACCCTTCTTTTTGAATTGATTATTATATCTTATAGTTCAAGTCTAGATAATACGATTATTAAATGAAAACTTAATTTTATGCAAGTTGTTTCCATTTTATTACACAGTGATAACCTCTTTATGCATTAATATCATTTTATCTAGAGAGAGATTGAAAGTCATCATGAGATTGGGGTATAATGAAGCGAAATCCAACTCCATTATAGGCCTTTTTCTTTCAATCCCTTTTTTAGACAAAAATACGTATGTGTCAGAGTACTTACCCTTTTCTATATTTTTAGATATCTTTGTACTAAATAGCATATTATGTTTAAAAGTATAAGTGCCTAGAAGGTTTCATACTCTCATTTTGTTTGCACAATAGTACAAGTCGAATAAAGATATATATGCTATAGAAGCAATCTCCCTATAGTTATTAATTACATTTTTCTTAACCATAAGCTTCTGATAACGCAATATGTCTATAATACAATTATATGCTACTTCATGCATGCCTGTAGAAGAATGCAATTCTCTTTAGAAGGCATCCATTTTCGCTTTAGATTAGAATCTCTACATTCTGTTATATGATATATCTACCTTACCACCAAGCTCACATTTCTTTAAGTAAAATATAAGTGAACTTTTCTTATCTACTTCCACATGAAGGTAGAATTTCTTAAAATATACACATATATTAATTAGCATATAGCTTAGTATTTAATAAAGTAAAAATAAAATTTTCTTTTAGGCAAATTTTAACCAAAATCAGCTGTATCCTGTGATCTTCTTCCTCATCATTAATAATACCTTTTTTATTCTGAAAAGTATTTTTAAAGTTTATTCTTATCTTTTTATAATAATTTTATTTTTGAATTTCTTTAGATGATTTAAAGTCTCCTGTCATCTACTTTTACATTCATTTGAAAAGATTAAGTCTAAAAGCTCTTTTCATAATAAATGACCAATCATAATCAGAATCATTGAAACTGAGCTAGATATTAGATTGAAAGGTTCTTCAGTATAACACAAATACCTTTAGTAAATTTGACTAATTTTCACATATAACTGTTATCCATCACAGGTCTGACGCTGTTTTAACATTGATGAAGCAGATCTGTTTTAGCAGTTTTGGATTATCTTTTCAATGCAAGATCATACAAATCATAAATATATTATTTTCTTTATTATGTACTTCAGCAAATTCTCTTAGTTCTTGTGATTATATCTCTATATCTCATATGAGGATAAGCGTGCGATCTCTTATAAGTGCTAAAATTGAAAAATGGTCACTTATTATTTTCTGGTCTTCTACTGCTTGAAAATGATTTACAGGAATGTAAAAATTATATGTATATTAAGAATATTTTCTGCAACAATACTTGCTTATTACAGGCTAATCAGAAATTGTAATTCCATTCTCTCTAGCTATTTTACGGTTAAATGAAGATATATCATCTGATGCAGTTTCAAAATCTTTATCTTAGATAGCTTAGAAAACTTTTTTCTATCTTCAGTACTATGCATAAAAACTCGTAAATATAACTTTTTTTCTGTATGATAGTCATAGAAAGAAAAGGTCTCGATAGGCTCTATTTTATAGGCATTTATAGTACTACATAAAATTTTGTTTATTTTTATCTTAAAGTCATTTACAGATTCCTTCTCAAATACGCAAATATCAAAGAATATCTAGATTCTTGTAAAGGTAACTACTGCTTTTTAGCCATTGATAAAAGAGCTATAAAGATGCAAAACATAATAATTCTTTGCACCTATCTTTTTTGAAGAATCCCCAAAATCAATAGTCATAAAAGGAATCTTTTCTTGTTCAGCTAGAACATTGTTAAAAATTATAGATAACCCCTCATCATTTTTCATTATTATATTATCACAGGTTGGAATACTATTCAAGTAATTTTTACTAGAATAGCAAATCACTTGGCCTTCTATTTTATCTTTTTCAACCTTTGAGTAAAAAAGCAAGACATTGAAGGAGAAGAAGTCTGAAAGCTCAGATTGGATCATTTTTAGATAGCCTTTAAAGGTATACTATATCCTAAACTCAGAATATATTGTCCTGGAAAAAAAAGTTTAAATAAAAAAAAATAATTATAGTAATTTAAAAGATACCCAATGAAAGTTGAATTTATCTGCTAATATATCTCTAACAAAGGAAATGTATGCAGACGAGCTAGTATTTGAGAAAAAGGATGCAAATTTATTAGAAAAGGTGACAGCAAAAC